GGGGGCAGGGCTGGGCTAGCAGGGGCTGCGGGTCAGGAGTGAGGGGCACCGGCCGGGCTGGGGGGCACAGCAGGGGGCTGCGGGTTGGGAGTGAGGGGTACCATTGACTAGTGTTTCATTAATGGCCCTAGAGCCCCCAGGCGCCCGGCTAGTGGTGGGGGGTTGGTACTTTTTGCCCAAGCAAATGTGGGAGCAATGGGGGGATGGGTGTTGTTCCCCTAGTCTCTGGGCCCCTCCTGCACTGGGGCAGTTGAGGGCAGAGGGGCAGCGTGGGGTGTATGTGAATATCAGATTTGGGGGGGTGGCCAGTTAGCCTTAGAGACTGGGGTTAAAGGTCATGGGGCTAGGGGAAAAAAAAAAGCACCAAATAGCTTCCCCCCACTTTAGGAAATCTCTGCTCCAGCCCTCCTGTACCCCCGTGGTGACGGGGGGTTGGTGCCTCCCCCTCCCTAGGGCAGGGGGACCCCCCTCCGTCCTGTAGCAATTCTTACCGAGTCCCTCACTGTGGTATCTGGCACCTCAGGCCCCAGTCCCATGGTGAGGCTGTGCCCCCATCCACCGCCCATCGCCCAGGGCCCATTAGCAACCTCCCAACCCCACATTTTTCACACTAACATTGTTTTTGGTATTGAAAAAATAGCCCCAAACCCCCCAACTTCGCTCCATAGAACAAACTTTTCTTCAGCATCAAGAGAGAAAATGTTTGATCTTTTCCTCGCCCTTGACCCAGCCAAAATCTCAGCTCTCCTCCCATCTCCCCTCATTTGTACCAGTTTTATTTATTCCTTTGTACTTTGAAAACCTGCACGGATGGTTAAAAAACAAGACCAGCTCGGTGCCTCCACTTTTTATTTTCCAAGCAAACAGAAAACTGATAAAAGCAAAGGAAAGAAAATGTGACAATGTTTTTTCATCCCAATTTCAAAGATGTTTAGCCTGGGGAAAGCTGGATAAATCGTCCCGTTCTCTCATGGCCAGAGAAATCCCCCCACCCCTGAAAAGTGTTAAATTACAGCGATGACGACACCCCCCCCCCTTTTAATATTTCTGATGCCACCTCCTAGGAACAAACAGGACAAAAATACTAAGAAAGGTCACAATTTTGTCCCATTCTCCAAAATCTTAATTCTTGGCACCCTCAAAAAATTTAATAAAGGTTAAAAATAAAACCAGCCGCTACTTTTTCTTCCTTTTAAACTATGTTAAATGTTCCCCCCAACTTGCAAAGAAGGACTGAAAAACGGGCCCAAAGTCCTTTGAAAATGTGGGCGGGGATGGGGGGGGGGAGAGAAGAGAGACGGGGACGTCCTCATGGAAAAGAGCAACCAGAAAAGTCCCACCTTTGGTTTGTTTTGAACCCTGGAGAGGTGGGGCCGGGTCAATGCTAATCTCACTTGGTCGATGTTCAAGCCGAGGAGAAAGTTACCGATGTGCAGATGTGTTGCTCGCGTTGGGTCCATGTTAGGCGTGTGCCAGAGGCACCGTGGCTGGAGATTTTCCTTTAGTGGTACCCTAGGGGCCAGTCCTGGTGCCCCCTGGAGCCCCACACTTGCCCTGGACCCTCCAGTTCCTTCTTGTTAGCGACTGAGACAGCGAGGATGGAGGGCGGGTCATGGACTGGACGTGAGCAACATCTCGAAGAACAAGTTACGGAGGTTAGTCACCGTCTCTTCTTCTCCGACTGCTGGCTCCCATCCATCCCAAGCAGTGGCCCTGGCAGAGGGCTCGGAGTTCACGGACCCCTCTCCCAACGCTGGCATCGCCCGGGCCTGCTGAGTGAGGGTGTAGCGGGCTGCAAAGGGATGGACCGACACTCATGTTGCGGCTCTCCTGGATTGGTAGCGGCCCGAGGAAAGCAGCAGATGAAGTCCTTGCAGAGCGAGCTGTGACAATGACCAGAGGGGAACAGGCAGGTATCCAGTCCGACATCCACTAGGAGATCCTTTGTTCTGTCCGCCACCAAAGAGCTGCGTCGATGGGCAGAAGGGTTTAGTCTGGTTGGTGCAGAAGGCCAGGACCCACCGAATGTCTAAAGGTACGGAGGCAACGTTCCTCGGCTGAATCGCAAGGAAGACAGGCAGAAAAAAATGTCCCGGCTGTTAGGGAGCTGGGACACCATCTTCGGCAGAAAGGGCGGGTGGGGATGCAGCCAGACCTTGTCCTTGAAGGACAATCAGAAGTGGGGGGCTCTGGTTTTGGGAGGCCACCTTCCATGAGAGCAGCAGCCGGGAACAAGATGCCAACAGCTCAAAGAGGGGACTTCCCCCCCCCCCCCCAGGAATCTCAACAGCACCAGACTCAGGTCCCTTGGGGGAATTGGGTCATGGACCTGAGGGTGGAGCCTTTCCAGACCTTTCAGGAACCTGGCCATTGTTGCATACGAGAAGTCTGATTTCCCGTGGAGTGGAGGATGGAAGGCCAAGATGGCCACCAGGTGGACTTTGATGGACGACAGGGCCAGAACTCGGTGCTTCATGTGGAGCAAGACTGGGTGCAGAGCAGACGGAGATGGGGACAGACCCCAATCCGAGGCCCAACACATGAAACGCTTCCACTTGGCCACACACGTCGCCCTGGGAGAGGGTTTTCTGCTACCCGTAAGATTTGCTGGATCTGCTCCGAGCAGGCCCAGTCCTCAGGGTTCAGGCATGCAGCAGCTGAGCCATCAGATGCAAGGATGTGAGGTTCAGATAAAGCAACCGACTGCCGTTCTGCAAGAGAAAGTCCAGGCGTAGCGGGAGCTCGAACAAGGCCGCCAACGACAGGTCCAGAAGCATGCTGAGCCACCGGGGCTCTCAGGATAACCCTCGCCCTGTCTCTCAGTCTTTAAGGGGCCCCTGTGGACCAAGGGTGTTCATAGGAAGGTCTACAGCAGTTCCCCCGCCCACAAGAACAGGAAGACATCAGAGGCTGAGCCCATATGTTGAGAAAACCCGCTGGCATTTCCTGTTCCGTCTGGAGGGGAACAGGTCCATCCGGGGAAGCCCCCGCCTCCGGAAGACAGCGCTGACGACCTCTGGGTGGAGGGACCACTTGTGGGGAGAGAAGGGCCTGCTGAGGAGATCTGCCCCCACGTGTCCCGGGAACTCAAGGTGAACGGCACGTTCCATGCAGAAGTCCCACAACTGAAGAGCAGAGCAGCGAGCTCCGCCTTGCTTGTTGGAACAGGGTCTCTGGCAGGTGCCTCTGGCCCAATGGAGTCAAGCATGGCTCCTACAAACGCTACCCTCTGAACCGGTAGCGGAGTTGATTGGTTTGTTTATAAGCAGAGCCAGCTCCCGACAGGTGCCCATACCATGCTGTGTCAGACCGGAGCCCGTGAATGGCCTTGGACTGCCGTTGTCGAGGTACGGAGAT